CCCGGGCCTCCTAGCCTCCTAGGAGGCTAGGAGGCCTAGGAGGCCTTCCTAGGAGGCCTTCCTAGGGCCTTCCTAGCCTCCTAGGTATCCTAGCCACTAGACCACACGGGATCCTGCTAAACTAATCTCCATCCATCCTTCCGATCTCCACCGGCCAGACCACAAGGAAGGACTTCGTCCGCAGGCTGGAATGTCAGATGAGTCCGAGCGGGCAGCCATTTTGGCTGGAGTCTTCCGGCGTGTCCTTCAGACCCGCGAGAGCATGAAGACTGGGATGTGCTTCGCTCTTGGTCACACTCTCTTCGCAGGCACTGGCACCGTGGAATTTCGGGATAATTACAATAACACTATGAAACAATAGGAAGAAAATATTTTGAAAAGGTGTAGTAAGTTGGCCGAAAACGCCGAAAATTCCATTTATTTTTAAATATTGTCAGCAATCATTCAAAGCAATCGATAATTTATAAATATATAAAAGTGAGATGTGTGATATAAGTGTGAACGCGATAAAGTCTTCTAAGCATCCTGGCTTCTCGGCGAAACAACACACTCTTAACGCATTTGCTCAAATAAAAAAAAAATTGAAAATTAAAACAATTATAAAATGGAGTACGTGGGTTTGAAGCCGTAGGAAAATTAATCTTCCCGTGCCGGGAATTGAACCCGGGCCTCCTGGGTGAGAGCCAGGTATCCTAGCCACTAGACCACACGGGATTACATTTATATTTTGACAATATTTACTTTTATGGTTATATTGGGAGGTCGCTGAAATTGGGCGAGTTGTTTCTTTTTAGAGAGTTATCTGGAAAAAAAAATTAAAGGAAATTTCGTGTTTCTGGATCCTTGCAAAGGAGCCTAAAACCCCAAAGTTTCACACCATCTCGTTCGTGGTAGCAAGTACTTAGTACTCTTTCTCAGCTCGGTTGCATTATCAAGCATTTGGCACCAATTCCCGATTCTCATGTCGATCGTGCTTCGATGTAATGGATTGCGAATCGATGGTGAGGCTCCGTGGAGTCCTGCCTTTAGGTTCCGTGTCCATTTTCATCATTTCCGTCGAAAATTCTTAATGAATTGCGCTGATCAATCTGTGGAATTTCAGGAAACTTCTAATTTAAAAAATGTTTAAATATATGTGGTCCGTGTACTTTCAATTGCATTTCTCAGAATGTTTGCCCATTCCCCCCCCCCCCGCTCAATTATGAGTAATAATTTTACCATTATCTCCCCAGCGAGTGCCAGCGAATAGATGGCCTCAGATGCGTGCGATCCGATTTTTCTCGCTAGAGTTTGGTTCTCGTTAGCAACTGAGGCTCTGTTCGCCTTGTAATTCCAAACAATACAATAAAGAAAACCACTTGGCACGGGAAAATGAGTTTCCCCTGCCGGGAATTAAACCCTGGCCTCCTGGGTTTCCTAGCCACTAGACTACACGGGACTGCAGTGCCATTATATTACAATTAGTTACTTTATATTATAAGTAATAAATTGGGGACTCTAACTAGAGAGGCTTTTGGACCGTTGAAACCTCATTTCCATTTCGCAAAAAAATCTCTATTTTGGCAGACTGACACGAATCACTGAAAGCCTTTTTTTTTTTTATTCCTCGTCTCGTCTAAATTTGTTCCTTGCGACACGAAAATCGACGTTGCAAGAAAGAAAAAAAAGTTGCAAGAAAGAAAAAAAGAGTTGCTCTCGTGTTTCCGGAAATGAGAATTCTAACTTGAAGAAGCGTCTCTTCTGCGTTTCGTGTTTTTTTTTGGGGGGGGACGATTGTCACTCATGATCTGGGCATCAAACCGATTGCCGTTTTCATGGATGTCACTAAATGCAAAAAGTAGATGCAAAAAAAAGCAACTAAATACAAAATCTAGATAAAGTATGAAGATGAAAGTACCTAAAGATGGAATGGAGAAGGGACTATAGGGGGAATGAAGGGTTCCGAAACTGCAGTTTCCAATTGCTGGACGATATTCCTACGTTCCAATATTTTTCAGCAATTACGAAATCGTCTCTTTCGATTTGGGCCTCGTTGGGAACAGCGGGTACTAGGAATCTAAGCGCTGGAACAATAATAATAATAAATTTAAGTGAAAAGAGACCTTCCCGTGCAGGGAATTGAACCCGGGCCTCCTGGGTGAGAGCCAGGTATCCTAGCCACTAGACCACACGGGAGGACGTATTTAAATGCAATTTGCCAATTCTTTAACGATTCTCGGCTGGCAATCGTTTGCACATCTACGCCGCGTCTAAAGAAAAGCCAGTCTTTTTTATTATTATTTCCTTCCCTGCTATCCTACGAGCTTCCCAGGAAGATTTCTGCCAACTCATCAAATTTCGTGCCGTGCTTCAACTACAAGAAATTCTCAACGTCGAAAATCGCAACGACGCAACAAGCGACCTCCACTCCGACACGGATTGGAGGTCGGACGACCCCTGCTCGACCGACACCGCCGATCGCAGACGACAGGTTGTCTCACTTTCATGTCATTTAATTTCTTAAATGCTTTTCTGGCTTTTTTTTTCACAGCTTTGAGTCTTTCCAAAGAACAACATGAACTAGCGTGATTAAACCTGATGAATTCAAATTACACTTAATAACTTATAACAAGATAATTTCATTGAAAAGAAGAGAATAATTTCGTCCTCGGGACGTATGTGGCGAGGAGCCCAGCACTGATTACTTCTTCAGTGCAAAAATTATTCATTTGAAGCGCAGAATAATTTTTTTTTTAAACCTGTCTAGAATGTTATTTATTAATTTGCGAAATCATGTATAATGAAAAAATCGCTTGATATCGGATAGATATATCCTAAAGAATAAGCTAATTTCCTTATATATATTATACAGGTAAATAAATAAATATCAATATATAAATGTTTATATATTTTTTTTTCACAGTCGAGCATGATCCATTAGGATGTGAACTAGCTCCTCTCGCAGCCCAGAAGGTATTCGAACATTTTCGGAAACATGGAAGGAAAGACTCATTTGTATTCGGTAGCAATTTCCCGTTTCTGCAAGAGTGCAAAACTCTTTACTTTTGCTCGCTAACATGTTCCAAACCGGATATTGCTGGCCGGAATCGTATGGACTCATGGCGAGAAAGAATTGCTGCGAAATTGAAATTTTAATTCAGTGCGACTCCACAATTGCCAAAAGTAATTTAAAAAAAAAATCATGCCTCAGTGCATTAGAGATTTCACTCCCTCGATGAAATCGCTCGAAAGCTCCTATGGGGATTAGAACAACATGAGAAAAATAATAACCAAAATCCCGTGTGGTCTAGTGGCTAGGATACCTGGCTCTCACCCAGGAGGCCCGGGTTCGATTCCCGGCACGGGAAAGTTTTTTCTCTATTTTTCTTTGAATATCAATGCTATCACTCTCTATAATGAAAATTTTAGTCATTGCATGCCTGGAATGTTGTTCACCCAAGAAGCCTGGACGCTTAGAAAACAATATCCTCTGGCACTCGTAATTAAAACGTGAAAAATGCAAATAAGTGGAATGCAAAAGCGTTTTTCTGCACGCTTCTGTTCCCTCTTTGTCAGTTTCATTCACAGTTGCCACAAAATCCCTTCCTCATTTTGCACAAATTTGCACCGTGGACACTCGTTATAACGAATACAATTAACAAAAGTTGCGCATTAGAGGCTTAAAATGTTAATCCACAAATATTGAATTCATTCGCAACTGTTCGATGAGAGTCTCCGTGCCTTGTGCATGTCAAAACTATCTCAACGCGTTCGTCTTTCGTTAATTTCTTAATCATATCTTCAACATAAAAAATGCAATCAATCACCCTAATTAATTAATTGCGCGACCTCTGTTGCACCCAGATTCTTCCGGCGAGACCGAGTTCCCTTGGCATCAAAATCCCCAATTCCCAAGCCACTCCCATCTCGATTCCTTTTTTTCCCATATCATCTCAAAATTTCACAAACGTTAACACTCTCGCGAGAAGGGGGTATAGCTCAGTGGTAGAGCATTCGACTGCAGATCGAGAGGTCCCCGGTTCAAACCCGGGTGCCCCCTCCTTATTTGACATCAATATGCATTACAGTCGACGCTCGTCATAACGAACTTCTATGATATATAGCGAATTCTCTTTATTATGAATTTTTTTTATAGTTTCCGACAGTTTGCTCATTCACGTCCGTGTTGTTTCTATGAAACGAAGTTCTGTGTAACGAAATCATTTTTTCTGTCCGAAGGAAGAGAATTGTTCCTTATGACGAAGTTGAAATCTGTCGGATGGAAAATCTCATCTCGTTTATAAATTTAGCACCTTCCACCCATTTTTTGGTGTCGGCCGTGGGGAGCGACATCAGTCGGTCGTAATCTCAAGGTCGGGTTGAGTCGAGTCGAATCGGGTCGAGTCGGGTCGAGTCCGGAATTCTGCTCTGCGTAGCAGTCGATGGCTTCGACTGATTTTCGGTCGGCGACTGCATGCTGAGCTTTTCGAACATTTTTCCACCCGCCGGAGGACGCCCAGCCGGGTCCAAGACGCCCGCGCGCTTGTGGATGTCTGGCCTTTTCTCACATTCCAGAAGCTGTCCTTCCTTGTAGAATTCTGTCTCGCAGATGGAGATGAGACGGATGGATAGGAGACGGTTAAGCAGGATCCCGTGTGGTCTAGTGGCTAGGATACCTGGCTCTCACCCAGGAGGCCCGGGTTCAATTCCCGGCACGGGAAGATCTCTATTTTTTTCCGTCTCATTATGTACATTTTCAAATGTAAAATCTTTTATACTTTCTTTGCTTTCCTATTTCAATAACATGTCCCTTTTTAAAGCACATTCTTGGGAACGTCCTCCTAACCGTGTGTGTTGATTAATCGCAAGGCCAGAATTCCCAGAAATTTATCTCCGTCTCTGTCTTCCTTGCATTTTAAATTCATGACTCTGGTTCATCTAATTGCATCATGACCGTTGAAAAAAATAATTGTTTTTGGCGTTTCTGCATTTTTCTTCTCAAAGTTTTTTCCTCCTTCATAATGTTTATTGCGAGGTATTAGTACCTTAATCACAGAGTTCCATTGCGAGTGCCAACAAGAAAGGTATCATCATGGATGACCCACATTTTCCTGCTTTTTCCAGGTCTGGAGGACGCGCCGGAAGACGCCAGCCGTGCCCAAGACGGCTGAACGGTGGAAGAAGTCTGAGTTCATCTTGCATTCCTGCCTCTGGAGGCGGTCCTTACAGTCAAGCTGATGGAGACGGGTACGACGACCTCCATTCCACGCGATTCGGAGGTTGGTGGATGCTGGTATCTTCAGCAGTGGCGCCTAAAAAAAATTCTGCATTCAAGTGAGTGCATTTTTTTCATCGATATTAATGGTGCATGGTTTTCCAGAGGAACTAAGGTGACAGGTGTGCATGCTAATCAACTACTCATTTGAGACCAATCAAGTCTCCCCGAAGCACTTCTCTGTTACCGATGAAACGTGAACGCTGAGAGGATGAAAAGTTGCGCTGAGAGAATCATATTGCACTGCAATCCTTAGCCTGGAATGAACTATCGTACCTTTAAATTCTACGCGTTAGCGTTAAATCACATACAAACCGGAGCCATTTGCAATGTCGCTGTTCTTCTCAGAGCCTCATTTTCTTTCCCACTTTTGGTTTTCATTAAAAGTTGTCAAAAGGTCCGTGTGGTGGTACCCCCAGGATGAGTGGGACGAGCACCCCACCTGGAAGGAGTCTGTACACAATTGATATTTCCCATCACACTCACTATGCAGGCTTAGGCTTTGCCCAGCTGTTATATTTCTTTCTTGCATGTTCTTCCTCTGCTTGAACCCCACCCTCCACCTCGGGATGGATTGGCCATGGCCCCCTAACCCCTTATCGGAATCCCTTGTCGATAAGCAATACGTTGCTGATGAGGTCTGGTCTGTATACCGGAACCAAATCTGGTAAATGTGGATTTTCAACTAGGCTGTCCAGCGGTTGTCACCCATCCATCAGATCATCTCATTAGTGCCAAATCTTCAGTAATTCTACAACGAAAATACGCTGCAAGAAATGAACCTGATTGAAAAGAAAAAGAAAGAAGAAAAGCTTGACTTTCCCAGCCCATCCCGTGTCCCACATCGCAACCGAATGGCTCTTAATGAGCATATATTCTCAAATCAGAACCGATAATGCTGCCGGCATTGACATGGGATTCACCCCTTAGGTTTTAGAGAAACGACTATGTGAACAGTGAAAACGAATCATATTTAGCAATTTTTTCGACCCTGCTCTACGCCTGACTCATAATGCTGATAATACACGGCAAAATGTTTCGGTAGCTACAAGTACATCGGATTTAACCACGTGACTAACAAAACTGCATGCATCCCGTGTGGTCTAGTGGCTAGGATACTTGGCTCTCACCCAGGAGGCCCGGGTTCAATTCCCGGCACGGGAAGTCTCATTTTCCCTTTTGATTAATTCAGTTTTTTTTTTCACTGCCTGGTGCCTGGCTAGTTTAAAATGAGAATGAAAAGCAACTTGTTTGAACATTCTCTTTCCATTCCGACCGGGTAGGCAGCCGGATGGCTCCACGACCGCGATTGACGTCGCGTATTTTCTCAAATCAGAACCGTGAATGCCACCGATCGTGAGGCTGGGAAGTACTCCTTCATGCACTCTGGTGGGTGGAAATCAATGGGTTGGCATGGGAATTACCTGCTAGTCTTTTGGAAACGTTTATGGGAACAGTAGAAACGAATCGCTATGCAATATGTAGCATTTTCTTGACTGTGTTACGCGTGATTCAAAATGCCTAAAAGAAAGTACATGGTACCTCTGGGGCAACATATTTTGGAAGTTTCTATAAGGGGTCCTGAGTCTGTAACCTATTCTGTAACCTATAACTATATATTAAAAAAATTAAGTCCTCTGGATCCCGTGTGGTCTAGTGGCTAGGATACCTGGCTCTCACCCAGGAGGCCCGGGTTCAATTCCCGGCACGGGAAATCTTAGAGTCTTTTTCATCCCTATTTTAATGTCACAATTTCTTAAAAAGCGAATTCTATTGAATTTAGCAGTTGCCAAGAAAATGCCCTTTCATTACTGAAAGAAAATTTTCTTTAACTTGTTCTACCTATTAATACTATAGGTTTTCCCGACGAGTTTCGGCAAAAGTCCTTTCAATTTCGGCAGAACTCCTCTCCCCTCCCGGCTGTTCCATTCAATTTTGGCAGCGCTAGGGAATCTCCTTTTTTTCGGTAATTAACATGAGTATGGGGAATGGGGAAGGAAAGGGCGGCATATTCTCCTTTCTTGAATCCAACAGAACATGCCCAAATAACCCATCAGAAGTGCTTTGCGTGGTTTTGGCCGTGCACGAACATATTCTGATCAGATGCCAAAGGAGAGAACGTATGAGTCGAGTCAGTGTCAATGTCTATGCGTTTTCCTTTGCATAATAACAATGATTATTCGCCGAAGATACCCTACGCGTTTGTGCCCTTTCCTTCCCTATTCCCCGTGTTAATTACCAAAAACAGAGATTCCCTTGCGCTGCTGAAACTGAAACGGCCGCTGCCGAAATTCGTCGGGTGAACCTATATTTACTCGCAATCGTGAATCAGATAATTATTATTCAATCTTTCACACTATCTACCGCGTGGAAATTGTTGGGTCTGCACATGAAAAACTCATCACGCCTTCGGAAACCCCTATGGCTTCAGAGGAACGAATCGCTACGTGACGTCAAGAATTTCCTATCACCAGACAGAAAAAGCAGACGAAAGCGAAAGCGGGTCCAGATGAATATCGGAAGGGCGAAGCGAGGTCGACATCAGCTGGGGGCGGGAGGGGGGCGGGGGGGGGTGGAGGAGGGTATATAAGAAGCGGCTGGATGCCTTTCCAATTCAGTCATCGCTTCTACTCCCGTCTGACAGTTTCATCTGAAAGCTTTGCTGGTGAGTCATTTTTTCTGTTCGTTTGGTGTTTTTGTTTGTAGGTATGGTGTATACGGCTCTGTTCTACCATCTGGAGCTCTAGTGGTAATTTAAAAAGTTCTTTGGGAAAGATTGTTCAAGATTAACATAATGAAAGTGAACTTTTCAAGTAATAGGATAACGAGTGAAATATTCCCCAAACTTCCATATTCACTGTCTCGAGTGCAGAGAACCCTTTTTTCTAGTTTCCTAAGTTGTCCCATTTGGTATGTTTCCATAATAGGAATATTCCTTGTGCATGCGTTATGCATCTCGCCATCCGAAATCTAGTGACTATTCCGTGCCTTGTTTTCGTGAATCCTTTCAGTTGGTTCTTCTGAAGGACCGACTTTTCCCAGTATTCAGGACGTTGAATCTCCACTCTAGCCATGGCAAAGACCCTCTTTTTCTTGCTTCTCACTGCCTTTCTCGCGCTCACCGTGCATGGTACGTTTTCCCGACCATAGTATATATTAGCTAGTTAATTGCCCTTGTTTAGGAAACTGAACGTGGGATTCGATCATTTTCGCTGAGATTTTATTCTGGAACCTCCAGGTGAAACAGATCGTGACCAAGAACTCTCCGATAAATGCACCCGGCTGAAGTGCGGACTCGAAGAAAAATGCGTGCTCGTGGATTCTGTATGCCCAAAACCCCCATGTTCGACGGTAGCCAAGTGCGTCGAGAAAGGTAAATGTTCTGTCCATTTTCCTTCCCCCCCCCCCTCCCCCCCCCCAAAATAAAGTTGGAACTGAATATCCTATGCTACTTAGGGTTAAAACAGCCAGTCAAAACGGTAAGATTTTCTGCGCAATCTTTAATTCCTTGTCCCTGACATTTTCTCCTTCCAGGAGTGGAGACCTGCGCTACCCTGAAATGCCCGAAGGGCACAGTGTGCGAGGAGCGCAAATGCGTCCGACCCCCATGCGACCTCAAGCCTAAGTGTGTCTTCGCTAAGGGCCGAGGGGAGCAGGAAGGAACCCGAGCGCCTCGCCCCGTGCGAGAGCATTTGTGATCACCTCGAATGTGACCCTGCTTTCGCTTTCGACCTGTGATTTGCCTTAGTGATTTTATCGAGACGAAGATTTCTGCGGGATCTGGAAGAGGACGCTAATTTTAGCCCGCCTCATTTTGAATGGCTCACCTTTCACTAATGGAGATTTTACTGTCGATGGGCGCGTCCCAGGAGTCGTGTCTAATTATGCCAGATTCATTTCCGCTTGTAGAACGAATGCCTGTAGAAGAACGAATGTATTTATTTTCAGAAATTTTCACTATATTCTTGTGATGCACTAAGATTTCAATAAAACAAGTTCGAGTAACTCATGAGTTTTTTCCAAATCGTGGAGATCTACGTCACCCCAGAACTTCCATTCTTAAACCACGGAAACCATGCCCAAAAGTCGAGAATGGCTTCCTCCGTTTCGTTCCAAGGTGTCTGGCATAGAACTGGCGGAGCTTCTTTCATGGGAGTGTCGGCAAAATCATTTATTTTTCAATATATATATATAGAGACCTCGTACTCGCCTAATTCTGAAAGACACGGCGAAGGATGCTGGCCGTGCCCAAGGTTGCTGTACGCTGGAGTGATAGTGATAGTTCCAGTGATATTTCACACTCCAGCTTCTTGACATGTCCTTTGAGGTCTTTCAGGACGACGCCAGTTGTGCCTATGAT